GGCGGCCCCCGGGCCGCAGATTAGACAAGCCTGCTTTAGATGGATCATTGGACTAGGATAGTGGTTCCCAACCTTGGGTCCCCAGACCAGCTTGGACTATAACTCCCAAAACCTTCACCGCTACCTGGGCTGGCCAGGATTTCTGGGAGTTGTAGTCCAAGAACACCTGGAGATCCAAGGTTGGGAACCACTGGGCCATGACTATCTGAGACGGTGGTTGTCTAACATTTAGACTGGATTCTTTCCCAGCCCTCTGTAAGAGAAGCCGGCTTGAACTTGGTTACGTCTTTCTGCAAATGTGCAGAGGGAAAAGTTAGAAAGGTGGAGGTTTGAAGGCCACTTCCTTTCTCGTTGTTGAGTCTGTCTCTCCCTCTCCACCTTTGCTTGCTTTCTCTGCTTCTTCTTGCAATCCTTTTGGAGCAGGCCTGTCCTTTCTTGTGAGTTTATTTATTGTTCATGGCACACTGAAAAGGGCCACACAGCTGGACCGAGAGCACTGTGTGTTAGTTACTTTCACCCCCAGCTTCCTTGCGTCTTCCAGGAAGAACCCAGGTGTCAAGCCTTAGCGGGATGGATCCAATCCAGAATCCCCGCTAGTGTATGTCCATTGAATCCATTACTGAATAGAAAGTGGACTCTTGTGTAAATCCCACCGATTCAAGGGGTGCACTCTAGTTGACACTAACACTTCGATTCAGGCTTGTATATCCAGAAATCGAGGTCATTTGAGTGGATAAACTGTCTGAAATCCTGTCATTGACATGGTTTAGGAGAAAAATAATGTGTATGTGTGCACATTTTGCTGCTTGGGGGGAAAGACATCTCTCTCTCTCTCTCTCACACACACACACTCACACACACACACTCACACACACACACACACACACACACCCTACCTACCTACCAGAATAAGGGAATGGTAAATTATTTCTGAGTCATTTGCAAACACACAACTGACTTGACCATCTTCAAATATTACTACCTATTTATGCACATGAACACAGTGAAAGGGGGTTATTTAGCAAATGGCCTGGGTATTTTTCTTGTGATCAACTGAACACCTTTTTTTTGTTTGCTTCCAGTGGATAATGACCCCCATTTTATCATCAACCTGCCGAGGCAGCAGAAAAACGTCTGCTTCAATATCGATTCCGAACCCGGTGCGATCCTGAACTTAATTTCAGATGCTGAGTCTGGTAAGGGAAAAATAAATACAAATAAAAGGCAGCAACAAAACTCTTTATTTAAAATGCCCTCCCGGGTTCAACCTGGACGACCGTCCGTTTGCCTCCTGAGCAGAAGGGTGTCAGATCTCGGAGAAGAATATGCGAAGCATCAAAAGAGGAGAGAGTTAAGGGGCCTTGTTACCTGTCAGGTCATCTCTCCCAAAGATCATGCCCCTTGGTCCTCCCAGGCTTTGCGATGGTCCGTGGAGAGGCGCTGAGAGAGGCAAGGGAGGCTTCGGTGATGGCCCCCTCACTTTGGAAAAGTCTCCCATCAGAGAGATGCCAGGCTTCTTCCCGCTAGTCTCTCAAGAAATTATTGTGGTTTGAAGAAGCTTTTACGGTCATTTCCCCCCTCAGGCAGCCGTTTGGGCCCCATGGTTTTCTATTTTTCTCAAGGGGGGTGTCACCTTTTCTTATACAGTTATTTAGGTCCCTGGTTGAGTATGTCATTTGCTCCTTCCACCTTTTATTTGGGGAGGGGAGGATGGTTTGTGTGGGTTTGGTTTTTCATTTTTGTCTCTATTTTGTGTGCACGATTGAGCAGAGCAGCAGATTTTTGCTAGGTGGGGCAGCATAAAATTAATAAATAAAGAGTGAGTGAGTGAGAGAAATACTATAATTTGGATACCTCCGTGGTTGAACGGCCTCTCTCGTGCACCCTGAGAGTTTGCTTGCTTCCTTGTTGTTTCAGGTTGTGTTTAGTGATGGAAATTAAAGGAAGGTGCCTTTACTTACCTGCCCCCCCCACTGCAGACCCCGGACCCCTCCCCCAAAGCCTTTGAAAATGTTGCATGTCTTCCTTTTTTTTTGTAGGAATCGCTGTTAACGGGCAGCTTATCGGGGCCAAGAAACCCCTGAATAATAAACTGAGAACTTACTTTGGCAAGATTGGGTTCCTCTTCGAAAAGAAAGGCTTAAAGGTGGAAGTCAGCACTGAAGCCATCACCTTGAAGGATGGGTCTTCCAGGACTTCCTTTGCCTGGTCGGATACGGGGAGGCTCATTCGGAGGAGGTAAATGGGAGACTCCGTCAGGATTGGGTTCTCAACAAGCTCCGGATGGAGAAATACCATTAAAGCAGTTTCGGCTGGGATTCAGCCAGACCGGTTTCCTCGTGCAACCATCAGGCCTTGCACTTTTTCAAAGAATGTGCAAGGAAGCATCCGATCCCTTCCCGGTGGAAGTGGTTCTCTGCTTCTCTCCCATTTGGACACAGCTGTGCCTTCCGCGTGGATCAGGATTTGAGAGAGCAACGGGAGCATCCAACCAGCTACGTAGGAGGTAGAAGAGCCCACCAGGCAGACAGAGAGAGAGGCTTAAGGTAGATCAGGCCGCTTTGGCAAGCAGAGATTCAAACCCAAGCTTGCCCGGTCTACACTTCATGCCACTCGCCCAGTCCTGCCCAACGTGCGCCCTCAAGAAACCAAGTGCTGTGAGGAAAGACTGAAAGAACTGGGCATGTATAGTCTTGAGAAAAAGAGATAGGAAAGCACTCCTCAAAGAATTGAAAGGTAGTCCTACAGAGGAGAGGCAGGATCTGTTCTCAACCATCCCACCATGCAGGACACATAATAATGGGCTCAAGTTGCAGGAGGCCAGATTTCCGCTGAATCTTGGGAGGCGGTGAGCGCTCCAATGGTGGAGGCATTCAAGAAAAAATTGGACAACCATCTGCTTGGAGTTGGATTCCTGCATTGAGCCGGTGGTTGGACTCGATGGCCTTCTAAGCCCCTTCCGGCGATTCTATGAGATGTCCCGGAATTACAGTTTTTATAATCCCAGTGTCAGCCGGGCATAGATAGAGAGCAATGATTGTCCCCATGTTGGACCTGAGATGGTGCTTTGCAGGAATGGGAGTATGCAGCTGGTTCTATTTGATCCCAAACAGGCCAGAGGTTGGCAAAGTGAGGCAGATTCTGGGACCTGTCTAATTCAAAAATAACTTCTCAGACTTTTGAAACAATCCCTCAAATGACCGGCTAAAGATGTCACCAAGCTGAGAACTCATAGGCAGAGAAAGGAAAAATCTATTTCTTGTGCTTTCTCCCACACTTAGCTTGCATTACAGAGCTTTTCATCTCCAGTGGGGGAAAAAAAACAGGAAATGTTGATATGTTTTTATCAAAAGCTGAAGTGGAAGCTGAGCTCCATACTTATGGATGCGTGTTTGTCATTCCTCTTAGACTGCTTGTGTCTGTGCAGAGAAACAACACTGTCACGATCACAGTTGACGGAGAGATGTCCTTCACGGTCGTCTTGCACCGGGTTTGGAAAAAGCACCCCATCAACGTGGACTTCCTGGGAATCTACATTCCACCTGCAAATAATTTCTCATCCAGCGTGCATGGCCTAATTGGTAAGATTCTCCGGAGGAAAATACAGTAGAAACTCCATATTCACAGGGGGATTGGTTCCAAGCCCCCACTTACGCGGATCCTGAGAAATACGGATTATAGCAAACACTATTGTAACAGAAATCAATATAAATAGTATGTCTTTGGCTCCCTCTCGTGACCAGTTCTGGTAATGACATCATAGAAATACATTTCTCTACTAAGCACTATACCTAGCATGGTCTCTGGTTCCCTCTAGTGGCCAGTTCTGATAGCTTCATCATTAGAAATACATATTTCAGAGATTTTTCTTGTAATATTTTTAATATTTTTCAGACCATGGATAAATGAATCAGTGGATACTGATCCTGAAGATAAGGGTTTTACCATCACTCAAGATATCTCTCAACCAGCATATGTGGCTAGAGATTCACAGAATTTGTTGTTCAGAAAAATAATTTTCCGTCCAACCCAAAATAAATAAATAAATTAGATTTTTTTTTTAAAAAAAAATTGGGTTGAAAAGTCATTTCCTGTCAGAATGCTGCACTTATTACCAGACGCTTTCTGAAACCCAGGGGGTTGAAGTCTAGAAACTCAAATACAGTAAGACCCCCTTATCTGTGAAATCAGCATCTGCTGAGTCACGTACTTTTCCAGTCTGAAAATGTTAAAAAATATTTAAAGAAAATTGTAGAAATACAGATTTCTAAAGATGAAATTACCCGAAATGGCCACTAGAGGAAGCCAGAGAGCATACTATGCATAGCATTCGCTAGAGCAGTGGTCCCCAACCTTGGGCCTCCACATGTTCTTGGACTACAACTCCCAGAAGCCTTCACCACCACCTCTGCTGGCCAGGATTTCTGTAGTCCAAGAACATCTGGAGGCTTGTAGAAATACATATTTCTAAAGATGAAATTACCAGAAATGGCCACTAGAGGAAGCCAGAGAGCATACTATGCATAGCATTCGCTAGAGCAGTGGTCCCCAACCTTGGGCCTCCACATGTTCTTGGACTACAACTCCCAGAAGCCTTCACCACCACCTCTGCTGGCCAGGATTTCTGTAGTCCAAGAACATCTGGAGGCCCAAGGTTGGGGACCACTGCGCTAGAGGAATATATTTCCATGCTGTCATTACTAGAACTGGCCACTAGACAGCATGCTATACATAGCATTCACTCTAATCCGTGTTTTCCAACATTTATGGGGGGAGCTTCGAACTGAGCTCGTATATGGGAGTCCTACTGTATGTACACTTCTGGTATATGTTCTGACTTTCGTACAGACTTGCTGTGCTTGTTGTTCTCGGACCAGGGTAATCATCTTGATGAAAGAGTCTCAAATGTTTTACATCACTTTACGTTTCCAAAAATACAGGCAAGGTTTTGGGGGGATGGTATCGCCTTCCTCACCTTGACATCACGCTAAAGAAGTCAACCCACCCAAACGTCTGCAAACTTCTCTTTCTCTAGGTCAATTCATGCTTGAGCCCAACGTACAGGTCTACAATGAGCGACCTAGCCAAGAACCCGGGAAATCTGACGCTACGATGGAAGTCAAAGGTCACAAGCTCACCGTCACCAGGTAAGACACCCGGATCAGCTAGTCAGAACGCCTCCTGGCCTTTTCAGCCTCAATGGGTGGAGTCCAAAGGCTGGATTGGGGTGCCAATCTGCCCTCGCCAGCAAAGCCGGCGGTGAAGAATGCCGGGACATCTGGAAGCCTACATTATGGCTGTAGGTGCTTGGGGGAGAGAGGTGTGTATGCATGCTTCCATCTGAATGCAGTCTAATCTTGAGAAAAGCCAAGTTCCTTGTTTTAGACCATATGATGCAACAATGGGATGGTACAGTACAACTGCTAGCATCTCTTGTAAAAGGAGGGGTCCTTTGCTTCTTCCCAGCCGAAAGACTCTTAAGACCTGTACCTTGGTAAGGAGGATGAGAAGGTCATCATGGTTCCTCTTTGTCCACAGCAGTGGTCCCCAACCTTGGGCCTCCATATGTTATTGGACTTCAACTCCCAGAAATCCTGGCCAGCAGAGGTGGGGGTGAAGGCTTCTGGGAGTTGTAGTCCAAGAACATCTGGAGGCCCAAGGTTGGGGAGCACTCGTTTACAGAGTTCCTTGAAGGGTCTAGCTATTAATAAGAGAAACTAAGTTGTATGCTGGCTGGATTGGTCAGTGGTTTAGATCTCTGGCTGCAGAGTCAGACGCTGGGCGTTCAATTCTCCCATGGGGGCTTCTGTGATTAGAGCCAGCCTGGGTGGCCTTGGGCCAGCTGCACACCATCCCAGAATGCCCTCAGAGGAAGGGAATGATGACCCACTTCTTGGTGTTCCCTACCTAGAAAACCCAGAAAAGGATGACCTGAAGCCAGAATTGACTTGACCACTCAGGATTATTCTCATTTGGTTTTGTTGAGTGTTGTAACGAGGATTTTTTTATAAACCTCCCTCACAGAGGTTTGCAGAAGGACTACCGCATGGATCGCGCATTGGGAACCGACGTGCCTTGCTGGTTTGTGCACAACAGCGGGAAGGGTTTTCTGGATGGTCCCTACACAGATTACCTGGTTCCTACTTTGTACAGCTACAAGAAGCGTCCTTTTTGAGCTTCAAGCAAGCGTAGGTACGTAGCAGCCTGATTCCGAGCTACTGAAGAGTTCATTCATGCAGATCTGGTCTTTTTCCATGAAAACCCTCGTCTGAGAGATCAGCTGTAGCTGACCAGATGTGGATGGCCAGCCTTGAGGCACCGACCCCAGCAGAATGAAGATCGTTTTTCCCTTCTCAAAGCAATAAACACCACACATCACAGCCAGCTGCATTCCTGAGGCCATCGATGAAGGCTGTAGTCCTGGAAGAAAGCATGTCCTTCTCCCCGTCCAGAGCCATCAGCCAACATCCAGTCTGAAAGGAAGCCCATGTAAGGTTGGCCACCCAAACTGGGAAATCAGTCTCTACCACAGGCCAAAATACTGTATTTTCGCACCAAATAAAAAGCTCTCGCTTGAGATTCTGTAGTCGGTTCAGTTTCTTGGGCCTCAATGGGTGTCCCCGGTGACCCAGTGAAGTTACTTTTTTGGTCTACGGCTTCCAGTATCCCCACCTAACACGGCCATATTGACTTGTGAGAAACCGTTTCAAGCACCTCAGGGTTCCTGAGAACGTCATAGTTACAAGCAAAATAAACGTTTTTCTCAAACTGCCTCAACCTGAGGGCTCATGATACCCACTTCAGTTTCAAAATGTACTCTGATTTCCAGAAGCTGAACTTTATACACTGGAAGTGCAACGAAACTAGGAACCATGTTTGCAGTCCCCCAAATAGGTGACCAGGTTCCTATGATGCATCTGTGATTCCTGTGTGTGTCTCTCTCTCACACACACATTCCACCCCCATTCAACCCTAGCCATCTGTGCTCACGTTTCAATAATGAAAGACTGAGAATTTCATTGTTTCAGGTCACCCAAAACTCTAAAATCTCTGTTCATGTTGAGAAAGATTATGCCATTCCAGCTGTTGTAGAAAAAGCCCTGAGAGAGATGGTCAGGGCATCATCAGTGGGGAAGAAAGCCTCTCTCTGTGTGATATCCAACCCAGGCATCTCAGTTCCTGGACAACTTTGAGAATGTTGGAAATAAAACTTCATTCGCACCACTGTCGTAAAACACATTCAAGGGGCCCTCCCGTGGCAGGTTCATTGTTCAAGAAGCCACCACACAGTCAAAAGATTCATGGGTTCATTTCGGAACGGCAATAAAAAAATAACTGTACAGCTCACTGCACATCTGTATAAGTATACGGGATATAACACTTGTACAGAAGTTCAGCTGCAGAGAACAGGATGTTTAAAACCCATAATGCTTTTACAGCTACCCTGGCCTAATGTCGTCACCCACCATCAGTGTCTCCATGACTGTTCTTGCATCAGAACGGGCGCATCCTACTCAATTCTTCATGATCTCCACAACCTATGACTTCAATAATCAAAAAGGTCCAGGATAAATTATTTAACAGTGCAAGAAAATACAGTAGGATCTCCATATCTGTGGGACCAGTATCACTGATACATAGCATGAATTTTTTTTAACAATTAAAAGAACTGCCCCCAAATATATATTTCCAACAATGAAGTTACTGAAACTGGCCACTAGGGGGAGACAGAGACCATGCAAGGTCTAGTCTCTAGTGCTTGCTATTATACAGTGGCGCCTCGCATAATGAGTGCACCGTTTAACGACGAATCTGCATCCGTTTTTTGGGATCGCTAATGTGATCGCATATCGATGCCTACATAGGCAAAAACTCGCTTTGCGATGATCGGTAAGCGTTTCGCTTACTGATCTTCGCATAGCGTTTTTTAAAAATCAGCTGTTCGGCGGTTCCAAAATGGCCGCCGGAACACCCAAAATGGCCGCATGCAGCGTTTTCGCGTCCTGCCCTCGCTTACTGAGGGCGCGAAAATGCCTGCGCTATGGAGGAACATCGCATAACGGTGAGTTTTGGGCCCATTTGGAATGCATTAAACAAAGTTTAATGCGTTTCAATGGGCTTTTTTGTCCCATATAGCGATGTTTCCCCATAGCAATGGTTAAGCCGGAATGGATTAACCTCGCTATGCAGGGCACCACTGTAATAGCGTTTGCTAACATCTGCTTTTTTCAGCATCTGCAGGGGGCTTAGAACAGATTCCCTGAGGACACAGGAGGGTCCCACTAGATGCTTAAATCCAGCTAGCAGTTCCAACTAATTTAGACCCACTGAATGGCGGAGGTTTATAAAAGTCTGGACTCTCTCTGTTCAGTAACTGGTTCAAATGGGTCCGCTCTAGAAGGGACCAGCAACTGTTCTTAGGTCACAACACGGTGAAGAGGAAGCCTCAGATCGCTATAGGCATAGGTTGATTTGCATCTTGGGCAGACGCTTTCACAGGGTAGCCCTGGGTAGACTCTGACACAGCCAGAACCCACAACAGTGGGTCAGTCCAACACCCAACGGCCTCAGGAAGAGAGTTCTCCAGATGCGTAACCATCACTTACTCCAAAGGGGTGACCCAAGACGGTGACCAAACATTCAAACCAGGGGGGGGGGGGGGGGGACCTCTCAAATCTGCTTCCCTCCCTCTGCCCCCTTCAGCATCTGTAGCCGTGCACAGGAAATCAGCCTATTCATGGAGATGCTGGCCACAGTTGAGCAGCTTCTAGAGGCCCAAAGACCAAACACACTTGGCCTGGATCGGAGTGGCTGCTTTCGTCTCCCTCGCATTAAATAGATCTCTTTATGTGTATTTACTTAATTTTGTTTTTAAACTGAAAAAGCCTCCCTTGCATACACAGGGAACATAGTTATTTTTTGGGGGGTGGGCTGTTCCTGAGTCCCTTTAAATGACCTTCTGGCTTTGGGGTGGGTGGGGCCTAAAACAGCTTTGGGGGGGAAATACAGCAAAACTGCCCCCCATGGCCTAGAGAGGAGGCAACTGGGCCTTTTAAATTCTTCTTTTTCCCCCCTAATAAAACACGTGGGTGATGTAGGGGCGCCGTGGGGCCACTGCCCTTTCGGGAGCCTCACATGTTCTGCAAGCCCGATTTATTCCTTGCGGGCATCTCCTCATTGAGCAGGACCGGAGGAATGGTTTACCTCTCATCCTCAAAGCACATTTTTTTAACTGGAAGGCAGGTATTCGGGCGCCACCGGTGAATGGCAAGCACAGCTCTTTGTGACGGCCGGAGAACTGATGGGCAGGAAGGGGTCCACCTGAAGACTGACGCAGACAATCGCCAGATAACCTGGTGCCTTTTGGATGGGTGCGTTTCTGAGCCTTTCCATCATTCCTACAGAATAGGACGTCTCATAGTTCAAAAGAAGACTGAGATAAAGAAAATCAAGCCCACCCTTGGCGTACTTCCTTCCCCCTCCCCGCCAACCCTTAAACTTCCTCGCAGAGAAAGCCATTCCCTGTGGCTTAATGGGCACAGCGTTGCTTCTTTCTTCTAAGGAAACAGAAATTACACCAAAGGTTAGGAAGGATGTAGCGACTTAGCAGCCGGCAATATATTTCAAGGAGGGCCAGAAGCATCGAAAGCTTCCGAGTGTGGAGTTCAGACAATGAAATTAAATACACAGAATCACAGGGTTTCACTATGGAAGAGTCTCTCGGCAGCTAACAAAGGCAGATATTTAAAAGTCCTGCTCGCTTTAAAAAAAACTATACAAATCTCAGACCTCCGACACAGTGGAGTCTAGTGCAGTGGGGGAACATAATTGGGGGACCTCCTTCAATGGTGCTTGTTCCAGAGGCCGTCAGCTCTTCTGAGCACCTCAGGCCATCTTGGCAACGTCTTCGTACGGAATCCCTTCCACTTGACGTCCTTTCAGAGGGCCCTGGAGGAGGAGGAGGAGGAAAAAAAAAGGAAACCCTAAGCTTTCTCCAAAGGATAGCGTGTGCCAAAAGACCGCGGCCGATTCCAATTTCCAGGTCATCAGAAAAGAGGAACCACCTAGAGCAGAGAGGAAGGCTCTCGGCTCCATTTTTTGCCCCTGTGGAGAGAAGAGGGATGCCCAGGAAAGCCAGGTATGCTTAAACAGCAGTCACAAGCATTGATGGATAGAACAAGGACTGAGGAGGAGAGAAGTCAAGTTGGGTTAGGAACCCAGAGCAGTGGATAGAGACGCCTAGTTTACTCTTAGAACTGCAGAGCTGGAAGGGACCCGATCCATCACTGAGTCCATCCCCAAATCAAGGAGGCACAGTGGGGGAATCGAACTCCCAACTTTTGGCTCTGCAGCCAGATACTTAAACCACGGAGCTCTCCAGGAACCCTTGATAAGAGCTGGAGAATGGGTGGGCAATCCACCTTCACCCTAATAAAGTCCCCCCTTCCTGCTTGCAGCAGACTTGGTAGCTGGCCTTTTTTTTGCCAGAATGAAGACAGCATGTTTCCCTTTAAGCTAAACTAGTCGTTCTCATGTTTTGGATTTTTTTTTTACTCCCAGAATCTCTTGAGCTTTGGCCACGCTGGCTGAAAAGATGAAATTTCCGTACTATCAGGAAGGCAAGAGGTCAACCACCATAGAACTGCAGGATCAGACCCTAGAACCACCTAGAGAGGGTTCTCACATCAGGGACCTACATGCTGTAGGTCCGCATTTTCATCTCTCATCCACTGAGGGTCAGTCTCCATTTCCCATTTATTTATTTCGTTTACTTTCCATCCTTCTCCCATATGGGATTTCAGAAATGGTGCCACTTGCTCCTGAATAAACGGCTATAGGCTCGACTATTTAGTCATGCTGCTCATTTCTAGACAAACTGCTATACCAAAAATGAATGTTCAGAGATACTCACAGACTCAATAACGACAGTTGCCGAAAATGTCTTCTCGTTGATGCAGATCAGAGTGGCTTCGTTCCCTCTGTAACCTCCGTTTAAAACCCGCACTCTTTTGCCTGGAATGTGAACATCAGAGAATTTGCCTTATGCTAAGCAAGCCACTGTGCCTGAGATCACAAGCCTGACTATTCCTGCAGAGACTTTGAAAATTATGGATTAGTTACTGCTAAATCAAAATTGTAAGAATGGTGCCCCCTACTGGTCAACCGTGAAACATTCATTCAGGCTGCGGTGGCAAACCTCTGGCCACACCACGTTTTGGACCAATCATCATCATCCCAAAGTCTTTGATCCTTGGCAATGCAGGCAGGAATTCTGGGAGTCGTAGTCCAAAACATCTAGAGCGCCAAAAGTTTTCTGTCCTTTCACTATGATTCATTGCAATAGCTCCATTTTAAAGATTTGCCACCCAATCATGAGGACTAGAGCTTTTAAAATAAACCTGAAAAGAGTTATTTCAAACTCTTTTTCTCAAAACGCTTTGCCACAATTTGCATTTGCCCAAAGGGAGGAAGAGGCATCTTTCCATTTAATTTACAGATATCAATCAGTAAAGGAGAACTGTTTGTGAAATGACCGGTCTGCAGACCCCAGCTGCGCCCGTGTGCCAGTTGCATCGGGAAGACGGCTTACCTGGCGCTGGGATCACCGTCTCCAGATGCGTCTGGTCAAGCTTCAGTTTATCGCCAGAATCGAGCACTCGGACCACGGCTGTGTACTTGTCAATCACCTCCTGTCACACAAATTAATTTATTTCTTTATTAGACTTCTACCCTGGCCATCTAGACCAAAGGTCTACTCTACACGAAGACACACCAGTTCAAGGGACAGATCAGTGAGTTCACCTTTTGCCGGTGTGTGTGTGAGTGTACGCATGTGTGTGTGTGTGTGTGTGTGTGTGTGTGTGTGTGTGTGTGTGTGTGTGTGTGTGTGTGTGCGCTCCAGATGTTGGCCGGGGCTGCAAGCAGACATCGTAACGAGTGAGCAGGGGTGACCGGAAAGGCAGTCCCCAAACCGATGGACCGGCGCATGTTCCCCATCTCTGGCTGAGCGTGTAATGTGAAAGTGGACACAATTATCTAAGGCTTATGCTGCAGTTAACCCTGCGTCCCTCCCATGGGAACCTGCTGGCCAGCAAGGAGCTCCCCTCCCCATCCGCAGGATCAGTTTCCACCGAATCACTTGTCAATTGTATGAAAATACTGAATAACACTGCTCCCTGCCCAGAAATACATATTTATACAGAATTCCTGGGTGTTTTTACCAGAACTAGCTATTAAAGGGACCCAGAGACTATGCAATCCATAGCAATTGATACTTCCATGTTTTACAGCATCTGCAAGAGGGCGAGGAACCTGATCCACCACGGATATTGCAGGTCCTGCTGTACTAAGAGCGGTCTGCCCACAACTTCAAGAAGTTACCAGACCAGTGGTAGATCCAAACCACGCTGCCGAGCTCTGCTACCGGGGAGGCTCACTGGTAGAATTCTCCCAAGGCCATCCACACTCCCCAAAACACATGTGAGCTAGGAATTTATTTATTTAATTTGTACCCCGCCTATCTGGTCATTGCGACCACTCTAGGAAGTACCACTCTAGGAATGGGATCCCATCCTTTACTCATCCAGCGTTCGTTCTCACATGCCTCCCACAACCTGTTGTGCAAAAAAATAAAATAAAAAAACAGACCCACCCTGACACCAGCTATTTGTTTGGTGCAAGATCAAAACATTCACCTTCACGACTGCCTTCTTTTTATGGTACCTCTCACCAAGTTTCTTCGTTATGATTTTGACCACAATTTCCTGCAAGACAAGGATTAGAAAGACCAATTAGAATGAAGCAGAGAGAGCTGAAGGACGGGACTTTTCCGAGGTCAGGGCTGCAACAATTCAGAAGGGTCGCTACAAGGCTGACGCAATTTGATGGCTCAAAAGAACAGGCCAGGCTTCTCGTTTCTAGCTATAAGGCAACAGGGAGAAGTGCGAAGTTCTACATGTAGGAAAAAGGAACTCAATGCACACAGTTACAAAATGGGAGAGACTTTGCTCAGTAATATTACGAGCGGGAAGGAGCGTGGAATTGTTGTAGATCACAAGCTAAATATGAGCCAACTGTGCCATGTGGCTGCAAAAAAGGCCAATGCTATTTTAGGCTCCATGAACAAAACTATAGCCCCCGAATCTCATGAAGTGCTAGTTGCCCTCTGTTCAGCACTGGTGAGGCTTCATTTGGACTCCAGTTCTGGACACTTTAAGTTGAAGATGGATGCCAACAAACTGAAACAAGTCCAAGGAGGGTGACAAGGATGATCAGGGGACTGGAAACCAGGCCCTATGAGGAAAGGCTGAAAGAACTGAGAAAAGAAGACTGAGGGGAGATCTGATCTGTTCTTGATTATCTCAGAGTGCAGGACATATAAAAATAGGCTACAGGAAGCCAGATATCAGCTGAATATCAGGAAAAACCTGATAACAATTGTTGTACTATGTATTCTCAAAGGCTTTCACAGTTGGTTGTTGTGGGTTTTTCGGTCTGTTTGACCATGTTCTGAAGATTTTTCTTCCTAAAGTTTCACCCGTCTCTTTGGCCAGCATCTTCAGAGGACAGGAACACAGACAGAGTTCTGACTCCAGTCCTCTGAAGATGCCGGCCACAGAGACAAGTGAAACGTTAGGAAGAAAAAACTTTGGAACACAGCCAAACAGTCCAAAAAATCTACAACAACCGATTGTCGTACTATTTAGAGCAGGATAACAACAGAACCCATGACCTCGGGAGGTATGGAGCGCTCCAATGCTGGAGGCCTTCAAGAGAAATTTGGACAAGGATCTGTCAGATTTGCTTTGATTTGGATTCTTGCAACAACCAATTGTCGTAAACTAAGAGCAGTACGGCAATGGAACCCTTGACCGCAGGAGGTGCAGAGTGCTCTGGTGCTGGAGGCCTTCAAGAGAAATTTGGACAGCTGTCTGTCAGATCTGCTCTGACTTGGATTCTTGCCTTGAGCAGGGGGTTGGATTGGTTGGCCTTAGAGGCCCTTGCCAACTCCCATGATTCTATAATCTCACCACATGCAACCTGCCATAATCCGTCCAGGTAAGGGTCCCTTTCTCGTTTGCTTCCTGTAGGAGGAAACTGAAAATGCCAGTTCATTTTAGGAATTAGGAAAAAGGGAATATAATTCTGTGTTGTATAGGAAGTCAGAACTTCCAGACAAACGCTGTTTTACTCTTGTTACGGCAGAAATCACTTTTAATTGCTTACCAGCTCTATCTGGCCTCAAGCTCTGCAGCCTGAATCCCACCAGGGTATAATGCAGAAATCACAAAAAAGACTCATGGCACTTTAATTGCTTACCAGCTCTATCTGGCATCAAGTTCTGCAGCCTGAATCCCACCAGGGTATAATAATCTAACAAAGGTGATGTAAAATTAGTTCGAATTAAAAATCAGCTACTGGGATAAAATTGTGGTTTCAGCCCCCGGTTTCTTTTAAAATTATGATGAAACTATTTTGTAGTTTGAGTTCGCAAGAGCCGAGCAGGGCTGTAGAGGGCAGGGTATTTTGGAGGTCCTTCATTTATGGGATGGTTGTTAAGTTGGAATCGACATGACAACACACGACAATGACCACAACCGAGGTAAGGGTTAGAACCACTTCTCGAGATCTGGTGGGATGCGGGCACAAAGAAATTTGGAGCTGAAAGGGATGTTTGCTTTGTTTCATTTTAGTTTGTGGTATTGTGTATTTTGTTTTTTATTATTTAGCTGCTGTATCTTTGCTCAAGTATGTAAACCGTCCTGAGCAATGTTTCACTAAGCTGGGCCGTCTAAAAGCTCAATCGATCAAGCAATCATAGAGACCGTCTGATCTAATTCTTGGTTTAACACGGGATCTACGGCTGCACGACTCCCACTTTCGTTCAGAAACGGTACAGAGGCAAACCAGTCTGCCATTCCAATAGGCAATACCACAGTAAAAGAATTGGCCTAAAATGGAGAAATGACATCATGCGGATCACCATCAGGAAACGTACAGGCTGTAACCAGTAGTCTGTTGGCGTGGATTTCTTCTTTTCTTCTTCAAACTAAGGGAATAAAGAACATTTCAATGGCTCAGTTTGGCCTGGAAGGCTAGTTCAGTGGAATAACAACATTACTCTGACGAGAGCACCCAAACATCCCAGAATTCAAGCCAGCCGTCCACTGGTTTGAATTTCATGACTATTTAGAAAGGCAGGAACGCCAAAGGAAAGCTAAATTCCCAACTGAAAAAAAAAAGCAATCCACTAGACTCTTGACTTTCTTAACATGGACCAGTAGGTACTGAACTGCTGCTCCAAACACCCGGGTATAACTCCTAGAAAGGTCCCCAAAAGTTTTCATCCACTAATTGTTTTGTTTTTGGCTCAATTTTCCTTTTGAGAAAGAGACAGCAATCCGAGCTGGAAAAACCGATTTATGGAACTACAGCTCCCAGTACCTCTGCCCAGTACGGATCCCAGCCATGCTGATGAGGGAATTCTGAGCGGTGTCATCTCCCAAGTGACTTTGCTGAGTTTTGAGTGTGGCCCAGTGTTTACTGGATATCAGGAGGCTGCTTCCTACCACAGCATATACTGTTGAGACTAACTGGCAGACACATTCTGGGGGTGGGGTCTTGACAGGTGTAGTCCACAGCCCAGTCTGGAGATGCTGGTGATTGGATGTAGGACCTTGAGTGCGGGAGCCAGATGCTCTACCACTGACCATTCTTTAGTGCCCAGCAGAGTCTGGGAGACCCTGAACCAGCCATGCTCTCTCTTGGCCTGCTTTGGAGAAGTGTTGTGGGGTGAGTGGGAGGGAACCGACTCGTTGCCCTAAGAGCTAGCAGGAAGAGCAACTTGAAAACAAAATACCATGCACAACATTTCAAAAAAAGGCAGTGCCCATTATGGGATGAGATGGTCAACCAGAAAGCTACCCACACCTTGTTAATTAGTGGCAATTTGCTGCTCCCACTTAAAAGGATTCCACTTAAGCGCCTGCAAACTGACATAGCATTCTGGCCAGTGAATCATTAACATCATTAACCTTTCTCACTCTCTGCCGATTCCGCACATAAACCCCAGCCGTTAACTACTACCGCACGGCCCCTGAATCCACCGGATCAGCATTTGCTGATTCACTTATCCCTTATTTGAAAAATATTAAAAACTTTTAACAGAAAAATCTGAGAAATATAGGTTTCTAATGATGACATTACCGCTGGAGGGAACCAGAGACCGTGCTGTGTTTAATGTGTGCTCTGATCCATGTTTTTCTGCATCCGTGGCTGGGCTTGGGACTGGTCCCCTCTAGACAGGAGGGTCCCACCAGGAAGCTTTCTGAGATAGCCTGACAACCTGGAGTTTGGGGTCACTTTGATTCCCAGCTCCTGGCCCCTCTTTCGAGATCAGAGGGGCTTCCAAGGGTATGTGGCCATTAGCCAGCTCTGCCCTAGAGCCGGACAGGACATGCTGGGTGAAACAGTGCCCTTCCCACTCCCTCTGCTCTCTGCCTTCACTGGGCGAAGCTGCTGCTTTCCATGGGAGCAAAAGGGGATTGGATTTAGGAGCACTGGCAGCAGCCACGCGCTTTGAGGAACACAGCGCTCCAGTTTCTGAGAAAAAACAGATCTTAAAAGTACCTCCATGATCTCATCAAGGGCAGATTTCTTCTTTTTCTCTTTAGACTGCCCTGGATTGGCAGGGCCCTCTTTGCGCTTCACTGCCGGGGCTGGCGTTGCTGCCTTCAGGGCGCTGGGCCCAAGCAAGCTGCAGAAAGAGACCACAAAGCAAAAACGTTCACGGTGGGCCTTTTGCTACGGCTGCCAGCTCTCCGTCAGAGCCGGATGTGTCCAGGATGTGCTGCATCAGTGGGCAGGGCAGGAGAGCAGGTTCCATATACGAATCTAACACCCGTGGCCAAAAGCCTGTGGTCCTTGAGCCATGACTGGGGTGGGCCCCCCTCCTGCTGGGCTTGGCTGGCCCAGGGACTGATGGGAGTTGGCGTCCAATAAATATGCATTCCAGATTCTCTGCTACCACCCTCCAGAATACGTCCATCCGGGTTTAAAAAAACAACACGAAACCCTCCCTTCCCAATATGTTACCACCTGCAGAAAGGCAGGGCTAAAGGGGTGTGAAAGATTCAGA